ATAATAACAATAATAATAAGACCTTTTATTGATAACAAAGCTAATGTTTCGCTAGCTGCGATCCACTATGTTCATTACCGTTCTCAAAGATGCATTACAACGCCTTCGAAACCTAAAGTAGACGAAAAGTACAAATATCACTACGAGAACGCATAAATAAAATAATATAACGAACGTCAGATCAATGTTCCTCGATAAGTACCCGGTAGCATTTGTGTCCTGCAGCCGCGAATGTTCGATCCGTTGAGTCCTCTCAAATCCACTCTTGTAATCCACTCTCCACTCTTTTCCACGACGAATCTACTCTTGCAAGTTACAACTCATGTCTTTGAATTAATTACAATTTCGCTTTACTGAAAGGTACGATTTATGAATACTAAATATTAAGGGCTTCAACGAGCACGTGCATATGGAATGTCACGAACTTTCGCACGTATCAGCGAAACATTCCCCCAACAAAACCGTTTGGGGAAGTTTATGCCGTCGCCGTTATACTTGCTCTCTCGTCTGCGCTCGGACAACTGATATTCCTTCTTACTGCTCAGCGGAGATTCCCTCGGTGTCGTCCACTGGAACTAACACGATTAATCTGTGCACAGCTCTCTGAACGGTGACGTAGCCCCTGCCTTCGTACTTGTCGACAGGTTCACCTGGTCTGGGTTTTTTGTATGCCACGTCCACTTTCCCTATCATCATCTCCAGGGTAAACCTTGGACACTTTACCGAGCTTCCAGTTACCTCGCACCTGATTTGAATCTTGGATCAGCACTACATCACCTACCCTCACGTTGCGCTTCTTTGTATGCCACTTCTGCTGCACAATCAGACTTGGGAAGAAATCTCTAATCCACTTTCTCCAGAAAGCGTCTACAATCTGTGATTTGGGTTTCTCGTCTCTCTAAAGGGACCACTAGGAACCCTAGAGGTGGATCGGCCTAAAAGGAGATCGTTAGGGCAGAGGTAAGTCCCATCTTCGGGTGACGTCGGATGCCTACCAATTGGCCTTTCGTTAACTAGGTTTGCTGCCTCATAGCAGACTGTTTGCAACTCAGAGAAGGTCATCACACTCTCACCGACCGCTACCGTAATTGCCTTCTTCACAGACTTCACAAGAGCCTCTGAGGCCCCGTTCTGCCAAGGCGCGTCGGCCGGAACAAATTTCCATTCCATTCCCTTCGTGGCTCCGAACGCGGCCAGCTCATCCCAGTCCCAAGATGCCACAACTTTCTTGAGCTCCTCGTTTGCCGCTGTTAACTGAGTACCATTATCTGAAATCATTTTTGCTGGGTAACCTCTCAGTGACACAAATCGCCTTAAGATCATCAAGAATTTCTCAGTGCTGTAATTAGAAGCCAAATCTACATGGACTGCTCGCGTGCTAAGGCAGTTGAAGATGACGCCATATGCTTTGCCTGTGGTTCGCTTCTGGACTTCACCTCTAATCCTGAAGGGGCCAAATAAATCAACTGCCGTACAATTCCACGCAGGTGCTGGCTTTAGCCTTTCCTGGGGGAGCCGTCCCATCAGTTGCGTCGTAGTCTTCTTGTCCAGCTTCTTGCAAGTTACACAGTTGTATCTAATTGACTTTACTATCCTAGGCAGCCCGATGACCCAGAACCTTGATCTCACTTTGCTTGTCGTAGCAGATACTCCCTGATGGCCTTCTTCGTGTATATGTTTCGCGTACAAGCGGGATAACTCATGCCTAAACGGTAGAAGTGGAACTTCGCGCTGATTGTAGCTCATCTCCAGCCATTTCTCTGCACGTCCTCCTACGACAATTATCCCATCCTCTCGAACTCTTGGACACAGGCGTCTGAATCGTCCATGTTTCATGTCGCTTAACATAGTTTCTTGGGCTTGGAGAATCCAGAATCGCTCCGCTTTAGTAACATCCATCGGCTCAAGGACTCTGGCGGCATTTCTGAAGCTCGGCTTATAATCGGTTCGGAACATGGCAAGCACTCTAGCCGTCACTCTAACCAGCCTCGTATAATCCGAATATCTACTTATGTCAATCCTGACTGCTAGGGAGTCTTTGAGCTTGGTGTTAGCTATCATTACGACCCTAGGTTCCTGTGGAAGCTCTTGTATGGCACAGATCCTACTAATAGGCCACTCAGACTCTGGCAACTTCAAGAAATCTGGACCCTTCTGCCACGCGCTGTTTAAGTCGATTTCGTTTGGCTCCTTGCCTCGAGTGAGCCAGTCGGCTATGTTCTGCTCGCTAACTACCCAGCACCAGTCTTCGGGATTAGTACCGCTTTGAATCTCTCCAATGCGTGTTGCAGCAAACGTGTTGTACCCATATGATTCCTTTTGGACCATGGCGTGAACTATCTGTGAGTCAACAATGTGCAACCACGTGGTAAATCAATATCTCGACTCTCTCTCCAGGAGCTCTTTAAGACGCTTGCTCAGCACGGCTCCGCACAGCTCAATCCGGTCAATGGACATTGCCTTAACTGGCGCGAGTCGGTTCTTAGAGATGGCTAATCTGCTTTCAAACCCTCCACCGTTCAGTGCCCAACGGACGTACGCACACGCACCATAAGCACTATTTGATCCGTCACTGAAGATCACCAGCATTGGGTCACCAACCGCATTTTTGGGCTTAAGGCATCTACCGAACTTGATGTTGTTCATGATAAATAAATCTGAAAAGAATGTATTCCACTTTGCTCTGCATTCGTCTGACACTGGATCGTCCCAGTCAAGCCGCTCCGCTTCACTCATCCACAGTTTTCTCATCATGATTTTCGCTCTAACGGTAAATGGACCTGCCAATCCAAGTGGATCATAGATGCTGTAGATCTGGGAGAGAATCATTCGCTTTGTCAACTTCGCAGGAAACCTCTCTTTTAGTTGATGGGATTCTATATCCGGCTCGGTATGCAGCTTTCTCTTTCGTCGGGAGAAATTCAACGTCACCTTGAAGCAAAACCGGTCCTCGACGGGTCTCCAACAAACTCCCAAGACTTTCTCTGCGGGTGCACACGTTTCATTGGGTATCTCCTTCTCATTTCGGCTGTCAGAGCTGCCCGAGATGGTCCAGCCTTTAATCTTGAATCCCCCTATGTCGACCAGCTTCTCTATGTTCCGTGTTACGCTTTCGGCTCTCTCCCTACAACCAACACTCTCAATGATGTCGTCCATGTAGGTGTTGTCTCTAATGATTTTGGCCTCCTGAGGATACTTCTCTTGCGCCATTTCGGCCGTTTTTCTTAATGCTACTGTTGCGATGGTTCCCGACGGTCTATCGCCAAATGAGACTCTCTGTATGACGTAAGTGTCTGGCTCTTTCCTGGCGTCCATCTCTCTCCATAGAAACCGATGCGTGTGCTGTTCGAGCTGGGTGGTTCCCACGGAATGGTACATTTTCTTTATATCGCCAATTAACGCCACCTCATTCTCTCTAAACCTTATCAGCACACCCAGAAGGCTGTTCAGAAGGTCCGGTCCCTTGGCCCAATATTCATTCAACGCGTGACCCATGTATTTGGCACTGGTGTTAAAGACTATTCGTACTGGCGTGGACTTTGAATCTGGACGTACAACTTCCTGATGCGAAACATAATGAATGGACCCATCGTAGGCGTCTAATTCGCTCTTCGTTAGCTTTCGGGCAACGCCCCTGTCTATCATATCTTGTATCTGCTCTTGATATACTCTTGCGTGGTCAGTATTCTTGGCGAGTCTCTTTTCCGTAGACAATAGCATTCCGAATGCGGCCTTTCTATATAATCCCCCTTGCCCCTGTTCTCGCCAATCTCTTTATGGGTCACCATGAGAATATATGGTTGGATCAATACGGGGATTCAGAGGTATTATTCTATCCTAGTTACGCAGACGATACATTTTGCCTTTTCCACTCTGAACGGGATGCAACCCTTTTCTTCAATTACATCAACAATATACACTTTACAATGGAGCGGAAAACTGACCATGTTCTACCTTTCCTAAATGTTCTAATCAATAACACTGACCCACAACAAAGTGTAACCACCGTTTACCGGAAAAAGACTTTCACAGGTTTGCTCACCAGTTATCTGAGTTTTTGCCCCTTTACCTACAAATTGGGGTGAATCAAAACCTTGATTCATAGAACTTTTAAGATAAACAATATTTTGGATGGGGTTCCATACTGACTTTCAATAATTGTCTGTCATTCTGCGAAGGAATCTCTTCACTGAGAACCTTATCAACAAATTTATTTCTAAATATATTCAGACAGCAATATTGACAACGCAATGTAAATTAAACGAACTTTGTAAGATCGCGCGCGCTTTAAATTCTACGACGAATTCAAAATATGTAACACTGAAGATGACGGATGTACCGTCGAAACATGTCTGAAAAATTAAAGAAAGTTATTATGTTTATACGACTATCTATATTGTTGCTGCTAAAAAGACCAATTTACAATTAATTTCACTTAAAAAAAAACTATTCAGGCAAAGCACTGTTTATATATTCCTTTCGATTAAAAAAAAAAGACACTTAATTTCGGTTGAAAAAATTCATTCCATTAAGAATATATCATACATTCGGAAAAAAATTCCATTAACAAAAAAAAACAAAACGGTTCATTTCAACTGAACAAAATTAACGAGCTCACGCCATTATCACACACGTTTGGGTGGCGTTTAAGCGGCAGTCATCAATGAAATCTCCTTGTCGAATTTTGCACAAGGGTGTCCTAGAACCTCTTAAGCATGTGTGTACGGACCTTAAAATGTCAAAAGAAAGCAATGTTCTAGTCCAAGTAATAGTAATGTGATAAGGTTCCTTATTCTTTTCTGAGAGCTTCTCGGCTAGGCGTTTGAGAAAGCAGTTGCAATCGGCTCCCATCCCACCGCTGGTTCGTAAAATTAGGGGAGTGAAAGATCCCATTTCAACGTCCAGCACCCTCTGTTGGTACTTCCACCTTTTCTCCTCCTCCTGCTCCTTAAAGATTGTGGATATTTCCTTTCCCTGGTTGCACTTGGAGTTCACATGCGTTACTCTGACATCAAAAAATGCTGTAACTCCACTATACCAAAACCCCCCAATTTAAAGTCCAGTCTTGCCTCCGGGCTTGTTACCGCGGTTCTGAGGTTGAATCGCTCATTATCGAGAGGTTGTAGTTGTTGTTCGACTTCAACATTGGTGCAAACCTTACTAATAAGTGAGGTAAGTAGGTTGCGAACACCATAGTGCCTCTGCGCCACGAAACCTCCCTTTTTGCATGACAGGGCATCGCAGACGGTATACTTCTCACCACAAACACGCTTGCTTGGTAAGTCGGAGACGGGTATATTATACCCTAAACGCAGACAGTCTCTGAATTCCTGTTTATTCAGCACTAAGCCTTGATCGACAAGAGGCACTGCGGTAAGCCATGAGCTCGCACCCTTGTCTCTCGATTGGTTAACTGGCCGCAGCAGATCCGAGGGTAGAGTGGAATCAACACTTTCCATTCTCGATTTCACCGACGCAGTTTTCGAGGCTTGATGTTGTCTTTTTAACTCCTCCGTGGAATTCTCGCCTGCCACCATGAACATGCTCTCGTGGTAATAGAATCTACGTGCGGTGCCATAATTAACGTAGAAGCAGCAAACTGCTGTGGAGCTTCAAACCGAAGCAAGCGATCAAGTGGGAGAAAAAGATCACAAAGACGCTTGTTATTGTGTTGATGTTATTTTTAGCGTGTTATTTGCCATCGTGCATTTGTATCTACATCATAAACTTCGGTCCTGACGCATGTGTCGACTGTGACTACTGATGGGTCTTTGAATGCAAATATCGGTGGTAGTATCAAATCTGAGGTCGTTGAACTGCTTTTTAAGATACACTTTTCTCATAGTGGTATTGGTAAATTTTACGCTCAGATAAAGTTAGTTTTGCGGGATGAGAAGGTCGAGGAAGTGAATTTTTATAGTTTTGTTGTTGTTGTCGTTGTTGTTGTTGTTGTTTTTTTTGCTTCCTTGGGCAATGCGGTGATGGGGGAGGGCCGGGATGTTCTTTGGAGGCTCCCCATCTATATTGCTGTTTTGTTGATTTTCAAAAAGCGTTTTATTCGGTATGGTATAATGGTCTTTTATATAAACTGTTTGACAACAAAATTGGTGGCAAGTTTTATAATTTCATCGCCGACATGTATTCAAGATCAAAGTGTGTGATAAAAATTGGCAATAATAGGACAGACTACTTTAACTATAACAAAGGCGTACGACAAAGATGTATCCTTTCCCCATTGTTATTTACCTTATATCTAGACTATATATAGCACGTATACTTGACTTCTAAATTGCACTAACAGACCCAATAATTCTACCTAACGGATTACTCCTTTCTTGTTTATTTTATGCAGATGATTTAGTGTTAATTTCCAAAAGTGCACAGGGTCTTCAAAAACAAGTTAATATCCTCAATTGCAACAAATGGTTACTGAAAATAAATCTTAAAAAAGAGGCACTCATCTTGCTAAAACAAAACCGTAAATCAACACGAAATAAATACACCTTCTTCCTAACTGGAAATCAAATCGCCAATGCCATCGAATACCCTTATATCTGCGCGTAACATTTAATTCAAATGGAATTAAGTTTCTCAATTTAATTTCTAAACAATTGTCTGCAGAGAAAACAAGAAGATCAATATTTGGTGCAAAACGCTATACTTGTTACCTGCAATAAACTTTTTGATGCCCTATTTCTTCCTATATTACTGTACAGTTCTGAGGAATGGGGTGCTTAGACAGAACTGATTCTAAAAAATGGGGAAAAGACCCCGTTGAAAAAATTGACACACATTTTTACAAACATTTCATTGGCCTAAATAGAAGAGCTACAAACATTTTATCTCGTAATGAAGCTGAAAGATTATCACTTAAATCTAACATTAGTATTGCAAAGCAATGCTTTTTACTTTCAAAACAACTAGCAAAAAATGGAAAACCATCTTTCATGCTGTCTTTTCACGAGATCATGAAACTATACTGTAACACTTCTACTAATAAATTGCAGTTCTCTAGTATACTTGCACAAGAGCCAAGATTAGTAAACTAGAGGCTGCCAAAAATAAAACAGGCTATCATAGATTACTTTAAAAAGGATCAAACAAACATGTTGCGATCGTACAAAAAATTGAATTTCTATTCCACTTTTAAGAATAATGTGAGCAGATCAGAATATTTAGACCTTATTAAAAACGAAAAGACCAGGCAGAAGAAAAAATTACGATCAAGTAATCACAGGTTAGAATTGAAACTGTTACTACCATCTTCCTAAAATTCCTTTGAACCTAAGGATATGTCAGCTTTGCTCGTCGAATAAAGTAGAAAATGAAAGTCATTTTCTATTTGAATGCAATTCATATATTAACAATTTAAGACACAAGTTTTTTTCTGGACGTAGAAGCCAAGTACTGCAAATTCGTAGACTCGAACAAGCAGGAAAATGTTATATTTCTTTTTAACAATATCGATCGATATGTTAATTTGTACAAAATTTGGCTACAATGTCTATGAGGAATTTTATTCCATAAAGCAAAAACATGGGAAATAGAGAATTCTATTTATAACTTTTAATTAAAACTACCTGTTTATTTGATTATTTAAAATATTATTAAAACCAAAATTGTCATATTTTAAAAGCAATACCATTTCTGTATATGGGAATTGCTAATAATATGTTATGTTATAACTTTACAACCGCTAACGATATCGGCCTATCCAATGTACTCATGATTCGTTACATCTGGGCATCTTCTGGATCTAGGTTGTTTGACAATATGACATGATTGACAGTTTAACGTCATAACGACGTTTAACCTGTGTTGCATCATTTTTTATACTTTGAAGTAGCCATAAAGCCAAAAATTCTTATTATAAATAGTACGGGTGCCTGATAAAATCACCCCGCCTTAAAAACGAAAAAAATGTGCTAAATGCCTCTTTAAGGCACCCGCAAGCCTTGATTACTGATGCGCCTCGTGAATGCAGTGGGTGTGAGCATAATTCCAAGGGGTCGTTTTGCTAAGGGCAGATCTAAAAATAAATAAAGGAATCGGTCACAGCTTATCTGCCAAATGTCGCAACACCAAGTGTAGAAACCTAACCCCGGCGGGAGAATTTCGTATTCTGAAATTTTGCTGCGCGTTTTTTTGACCATCGTGGCTGCTGACTATTGGGAAGAACAAAAAATGCCTCTCTTTGAAAAGTATCCGTGTGACAATACCACAGCGCCGACATATTTATCTTTCTCAACGGCCTCTTGCTCCGCTCTCATTGCATTCATCGCGACTGTTGGAAACTTCCTTGTGATTCTTGCTGTTATCCTAAACCCCTGCAAGGACCTGCGATCACCTTTCAACTACTTTGTAGCCAATCTGAGCTTTGCGGATCTTGTTGTTGGCGTAATCGTTGCTCCCTTAAGCGCAGCCCAGCATGTTATGGAGGGATTCAGTCTCCGGAATAAGTACCTAGAAGATACGCTGCGTGTAGTTAATTTTATCTCCTGCACCGCTTCACTTCTGAGCCTAGCAGCCTTGGCATTAGATCGGTACGTTGCCATTACGCACCCCTTGTTTTACAGAAGCAAGCTCAATCCGGTTCGAACATTCTTAGTGTGTCTTGTTGTTTGGATCATCTCCATTTCATTATCGGTCTCCTATTTTGTGGTAGGCTACAAAAAGTTACGTTTCATCTTCGCGAATACTGCCGTCGCTGTGACATTTTTTGTACTACTTTTTACCAACTCAAAAATTTTCAGTTTCCTCCGCGTACAAGTAAATCAATGGGACAACCTGCATAACACTACCGCGGAAAACTTGGCGAAGAAACGAGCGATTAAGTTGGAGAAAAAGATCACAAAGACACTTTTTATTGTATTGCTGTTATTTTTAGCTTGTTATCTGCCATCGTGCATTTGTATCTATATCATCAATTTTTGCGCTGGCTGCCGTTGTGTGTTTATTCACTGGGTCAGAGACATTCAGGTTGTTCTCGTGATGGCAAATTCGGCAGTAAATCCGTTCGTGTATGCATTAAGGTTAGCGAACTTCCGCAAAGCCTTTAGGAGTATCTTGACGTGCCCTGCATGCCTTCGTCGACTACGTCCATCTAAATAAATCTGACGCAATTATCTACATTAAGCACTGATGAACCATCGAATACTAATGCTGGTGGAGGACAAGCAGACGTCTGTTGAATATACAGAGAATATAGAAACTGTTAAAGAAGATTGACTTAAGACTATGACGCTAATTATTATAAAGGAAATAAAGGTAGATGTAAATAATCAACCATAAGAGGACACAGAAAAAATCTGAGCCCCAGATGGGATTCGAACCCACGACCCTCCGTGTTCTAGATCGGATGCTCTGACCTCTGAGCTACTGAGGACTCGTTGGCGAGCAAGGGTCATTTTTTGTGGGTTGGACTTGCGAACCGCATCTCGCAGTCACGAAGTCCATCACAAGCAACACATTAAAGCTTAAATGTATCACACAGTCACATTAATAGTAAGAAATGTCTCACTCATATTATTATATTATATTAATATCAGTGGCATAGGTTGGTTGGTTGGAGGCTCCTTCATGAGTGAGACATTTCTTACTATTAATGTGACTGTGTGATACAGTTAAGCCTTAATGTGTTGCTTGTGATGGACTGTGTGACTGCGAGATGCGGTTCGCAAGTCCAACCCACAAAAATGACCCTTGCTCGCCAACGAGTCCTCAGTAGCTCAGAGGTTAGAGCATCCGATCTAGAACACGGAGGGTCGTGGGTTCGAATCCCATCTGGGGCTCAGATTTTTTCTGTGTCCTCTTATGGTTGATTCTTTACATCTCCCTTTATTTCCTTTATAATATTAATATCAGTGGCATTTGACGCTAATTATGCGCCTGAAATTCTTTTGTTCTCTATGTAGCCTGATTTTTTCACCAGAGTCAGTAGTTTGGATGTTGAAATTACCCGCGAGAGGAAAACAAAATTAATCTCACAGTTCTCAATTTCATTCTTCTTGTAGACGACATTCACCTTTCCCCACAACAACCGGAAGAGTTTCTTTGTTTGTTTTACTATTATGATTACAATAATCATCAATATGACATAGATCAAAATAAATGAATAAATAAAATAACCGATAAATAAATGAAAAATAAACAAAAAAGGGGAATTATTTAGCACTGAAATATTTTGCCTGTCAATCAGCGTCGCTTCTAATCTAAGGATTGATGATTGAACTGTTCAAATACTCATTACAACGTAGCTCCTCACATCTCCAGGCAATCATTGCAGCTACGCGTGTGTGGAAGATGGTCAGGCAGTTCTGAGCTGCGCTGGAGTACATAGAATTGGACCAAACATCGTTGAAGACAACATGCACATCTTAAAGAAGTAACTTTTCTTCAATTTATATAAATAAGTTTTGTTGACTTGTCAATTGAATACCATTTGGAGTGCGTAGTTTGTTTTATATAGACACTGCCACCTAGACTAGTCTTTGCTATTTGTGGACCGTGTGAAAATAAACTTGTTAAAATCTGAATTAACCAATAAAATGAAATGAAATCTTCCTTCTTCCAAAAAAATTACTTCGAAGGGTGGGAATGCGTTGATTGAAGCAAATATCCCACAGCATCGACTAAGGGTCAAGAAGGATGGCTAAAAATTCCTTGACCCATGTAAGGAGAGATTTTCCATTTATTCTTTATTTGATTCGAATTTCATATCTAGCTTTTAAATATTCCCTTTGAAGTTGTGTTAGCCGTAATTTACATTGAATTTGCATTGAGTTGTTTTAGTTCCCTTAAATTATGCACATTTTACTTCAATGTTTACTTTTAAAAGGATAATTTGTTTCTGAATAATTATACAGCTTAGTCATTGAATAACTGGATCTTTCGCCTGTTCAAATACCAACCGTTCGTAGTTTTTAGTTTTGACATTTTGAGGGATCCTGAGCAAAGGAAACTCGAATTATTTTACACAGCTTTCTTTGTAAACTTCCTAAATTCAGTTGCTTGACTGACATTTAATTTGAGCTATTTAGTTTAGCATATGAAGTTTTAAACTGAGTTTGTCCAGATTTGTTTTCGCTGTTCAGCTGATTTTATTCAGCCTTCTTTCCTTTTGTTTTGTGATGTTGTAGTGGGTTGATCGGTTGTTATAAATAGAGCACTGATTATTCCTGTTGTACGATTTACATTGCGAGCCGGAGTTACAGGCTTGTACGATTTTACATTGCGGATTTAATTGATTGTACAAGTTACGTTAACGAGCGGAAGATTAAACTGTTGAAGTCCAAGCTTGAGTCCTGTACTGTTTCCAGTTGTAGCAGATCCGGTACCTTGGAATTGTGACGAGTTCCTTTCCCGCTTGCCAAGCGAGTTGCGAGTTAGTTTTCCCCCTTGTTGTTCTTACGCCGAAGTCTCCCGAGTTCTCTTTACGCTCAATTCCCCGATTCGTTGCTGGAAGGGCAAAACCTATCGTCACACCCAATATTCTAAAACCTACATTTTTTCATGCGTTTAAGGCTCGCGTAATATTCAACATTTGTCAAATTCAAAGCTACATGTACGACGCCTCCGCTGGTTAGAAAATGTCGCTCATTGGAAAGTATCCTTGTAGTAATGTAACAGCGCCGACATATTTGTCTTTCTTGACTGCTTCCTGTTCTACACTGATCACGATCGTTGCTTCCTTGGGAAACTTCCTTGTGATTCTTGTCGTTTTCCTGAACCCCAACAAGGACCTGAGATCACCGTTCAACTACCTTGTAGTCAATCTGAGTCTGGCAGATCTTATTGTTGGTCTCATAACTGCTCCTCTCGGTATAGCTTTTCATTTTTTCGAGGGTTTTGGAATCCCTAATCGACCCCTCAGAAGAACGATGCATGTTTCATTTTTCATATCCTGCACTGCTTCTCTTCTGAGCTTATCTACCCTAGATCGTTACGTCGCTATTACATATCCTCTATTCTACAGATCGAAACTCAAAGCAACACGAAGTTTATTAGTTTCTACTGGTGTCTGGACCGTGTCTGTTTTATTATCCATGATTTATTACTTTGCAGTAGGCTATGACAAGTTTCAATCTGTTCGTCTTCGCCAACACTGCAGTTGTCGTGACTTTCGTGTTGCTTTTCACCAACTCGAAATTTTAAAGTTCTTGCGAGCTCAAGTTAGAAAATGGGACAACTTGCACGGCAACACGAAAATCTGGCGAAGAAGCAAGCGATCAAGTGGGAGAAAAAGATCACAAAGACGCTTAAGCTTGTTATTGTGTTGATGCTATTTTTAGCGTGTTCTTTGCCATCGTGCATTTGTATCTTCATCATAAACTTCGGTCCTGATCCACGCATGTGTCAACTTTGACTACTGATGGGTCTTTGAATACAAATACCGGTAGTAGTATCAAATCTGAGGTGGTTTAACTGCTTTTTAAGATGCACTTTCCTCTTAAAGGTATTGGTAAATTTTACGTTTACGTGAAGTTAGTTTTGCGGGATGAGGAGGTCGAGGAAGTGAATTTTTATAGTTTTGTTGTTGTTGTCGTTGTTTCTTTTTTTGCTTTCTTGGGCAATGCGGTAATGGGGGAGGGCCAGGGTGTTCTTTGGAGGCTCCCCATTTATATTGCTGTTTTGTTGATTTTCAAAAAGCGTTTGATTCGGTATGGTATAATGGTCTTTTATATAAACTGTTTAACAACAAAATTGGTGGCAAGTTTTATAATTTCATCGCCGACATGTATTCAAGATCAAAATGTGTGATAAAAATTGGCAATAATAGGACAGACTAATTTAACTATAACAAAGGCGAACGACAAAGATGCATCCTTTCCCCATTGTTATTTACCTTATATCTAGACTATATATAGCACGTATACTTGACTTCTAAATTGCACTAACAGACCCAATAATTCTACCTAGTTAACAGATTACTCCTTTCTTGTTTGTTTTATGCAGATGATTTAGTGTTAATTTCCAAAAGTGCACAGGGTTTTCAAAAGCAAATTAATATCCTCAATGAATATTGCAACAAATGGTTACTTGATACATCTCAAACAAACAAAAGCACTGACTTTATCTTCCTAAAACAAAACCGTAAATCAACACGAAATGAATACACCTTCTTCCTAAATGGGAATCAAATCGCCAATGCCACAGAATACTCTTATGTCTGGGCATAACATTTAATTCAAATGGAATTAAGTTTCTCAATTTCTAAACAATTGTCTGCAGAGATAACAAGAAGATCAATATTTGGTGAAAAACGCTATACTTGTCACTTGCAATAAACTTTTTGATGCCCTATTTCTTCCAATATTACTGTACAGTTCTGAGGAATGGGGTGCTTAGACAGAACTGATTCTAAAAAAATGGGGAAAAGACCCCGTTGGAAAAATTCACACACATTTTTACAAACATTTCATTGGCCTAAAGGAAATTTATTTTTGAAAGAAATAAATGGTTTTATGCTTAATGTGACTGATTAATGCGTCATTTCTCCAGTTACTGGGGAGGGGGCGTTCCTGCCATCCGGGACATTATATATTGTGTTTTTAACACATGAAAGCGAGGCACAAGGCTTCTCTGCTCACTGCAACAAGAAAGTTGGAAAACATTTTTAGACGGTGGGCAGGTTTGGTTGCAGGATGCTGGTAATTTATCAGTCTCCTTTGATCTTCTTGGGTTTTATTTACCGAGCATCACCTCTTCTTTGAGGTAAGTACTAGATTATTGCCAGATGGCTTACCGCTTACTCTCGGTGCTATAGTTGATGTGCACAGCTGAGATGATGTGCGTGCACACGATCGTCTTGTTGATTGCAATAATTGATACACGTTACGGTCATTTATGCTAATATAAAATCGAATTCTTCGTTCAATCAGCCAGTTAAATGTTGGCAGTTACACTGACGTGTATGCTATTCCGTTCGTTGTTCATACTTCGTTGTACCTCGTGTTCCTACTTCAGCTAGTTAGTTGTATCGCTGGTGCCAACTAGCGCAAAATATCACTCGATCGATATTTAATTTGAAATATTTGTTTATACCAGCCCAGTAATGGATCCCTTTATTCACAATCTTAGCTATGTTATGATATGTAAAGGCATTTTATTTCATTGATATTCTGAAGTTACAATTTTGCACGTTTGACCCCTTTTGACCTTTGGACTCAGCTTACTTGTAACCTTTAATTATTATCAAAAAAAAAAAAAAAGCGATGCATTATCCAACCCTACCGGCTAAAACTTTATGTTCCATTCCCTCAACGCATTTACAAGGTTTTAGAAATTACATAGCAACCATTCTTAAAAGTTATCTCAGAGGTATGAGCATAATTTTATTAGGGTTATTGTGTGCTGTTCAATGTCATGTTACGTGTTGTATCGTCATGTTCTGTTGTTTTCCTTTACTCACTGTCGGCGACATTCTGTTACCAGTGTTTTTCATTGTGAGGATTTGTTCCTCCACTGGAGTAGTTATTTCACGGGTGTTAACTGTTGGAGCCACCCTAGTTTCTGTGGTGCTAAATATTCAAGCCACCATATTAGTAGCTTTCTCACGAGTGTTAACTGTTTGAGCCACCCAATTTCTTACGGTGCTAACTGTTCAGGCCACCATGTTGTTAGCTTTTTCACAGGTGTTAACGGTTTGAGCCACCCTATTTTCTAGGGTGCTAACTGTTCAAGCCACCATGTTCTTAGCTGTTTCACGGGTGTTAACTGTTTTAGCCACGCTGTTTAGAACGGTGCTAACTGTTCAAGCAACCATGTTGTTACTTGTTATGTGAGCATCAGCCACCCCCTTTTGATGGTGCTAACTATTAGAGCCTCTGTGATATTCCTTCCCTCAGGGGTGATCAATGTTTGGGGCACAGCAATACTACTGATTTCGTTGCAGGTTTATAACAATTATAAGGTCCTCCTCATAAATTATTCTATTTTGAAGCTTCATCTTCAGATTTTTAGTGAAGCTGTGTCCTCATACTTTACATTGAGGCTTCATCCTCCTATTATTTTGGGGCTTTGTCTTCATAATTTATTTTGAGGCTTTGTCCTCATAGGTTATTTTGAAACTTTGTCCTTGGATTTTAGCTTAAGGCATCCTCCACATCATTGTTATGTAATATTATTGAGGCTATGTTCCTCAGTTTGAGGCTTTGGTCCTCGTTGTTGTAGACACATGTTGCTCTTGTTTGTACTGCGTATTTGATTTGTTTGCAGGATATATGTGTGATTCATTTCCATTTGCATTTGTGTTTAGGGAAACTGATGTAAATATTATTTGGTTTGAATTTACCATTCTCATTTTTTGCCTTTTATGCCAACTTTTTAATTCTTTAATTGTGTAATCCACTATTTTGGTTTACAGGTACTTTAGATTAATTTTATCTCTGGTTTTTGTTGGCTCCCCAGTTTTGATTTGTGTGGACATTATAGTCCCATGCTTGTTGAGAGGGGACAAAAGGCTTATGCTTCCCTCACCACATCACATCATTACTTTTAACTTTGATGTTCTTTTGAGGAATTTACTGTTAATTCAGTTTGTTTTGGAGATCCTAATGGATTGACTGATGGTTTATGCATTGCTTATTAATGGTAGCACATTCTAGCCTGTTTACAGAAGTTGTGTTTATTCTTTTCATTTTATTGCAGGTGCTAAGGTATATGCAGGCAGTTCCCTTTCACGGACGCGTTTTCAATGAAGCGAATCTTGGGCAGAGTTCTCTCTTGAGAGAGTCAACACACGTAGCTTTGCATTCTCTGTAGCTTGTCAATTCAATTCAACATACATGTAGTGGTACATGTTCTGCTGATCAGTTCTCCAGGAGTTGCATGTAATAGTGCGTGGCTACGCAAGACCAGCTGCTGCTTCCCTCAGTATATGGCATCTACAGCTAATTAGGCAGCACAGGCAACCTTGGCTTAATGCTGGATATTGATAAACTGCAGTTGGGTATGAACTGTCTGGTTTCTGTTACCTTGCTTGTCATCTCTGGGCTGCATCACATAATTCCTGCTCAAGAGTATAGTATGCCATATGGTACTTGTGTTTACACAATGAACACAGATGGACAGTGACATGGTCATATATAGAATTGTCACTGCATGAGTCAGGGCCATCCGGCCCATTTGATTACATAAAATTATTCACTTAATTCAGCTGTTAGTATAGTTTCCTAGGTGATTTTGGCTTGGGCAGTAACTCACTTTCAAGATGATTGTGTGAGCAGGGGCCATGAGCCATCTCACAGATTTTCATTTTTACTAGTTACATCAGCGAATTATTTCAGTATTGTTATTAGTATAATTCAGGGTTACTGTGTGCTGGGGCCATACAGCCATCTCACAGATTTCATTTTAATCAGTTACTGTACGTCAGGGGGCTACATATTTTAGGCTTTTGATAAGAATAATATTATTGTGGGTCTGTGTGTGCAAGGGCCATACAGCCATCCCACATATTTCATTTTAATCAGTTATTTCATGTCTGTGAGCTATTTCAGACTTTGATAAGAATAATTCTGTGTGACTGTGTGTGCAAGGGCCATACAGCCATCCCACAGATTTCATTTTAATCACTTACATCGGTCAGCTATTTCAGACTTTTGATAAGTATAATTCTGTGTGACTGTGTGTGCAAGGGGCCATACAGCCATCCCACAGATTTCATTTTAATCACTTACATCAGTGAGCTATTTCAGACTTTTGATAAGTATAAGTCTGTGTGACTGTGTGTGCAAGGGCCATACAGCCATCCCCCAGATTTCATTTTAATCAGTTATTTTATGTCAGTGAGCTATTTCAGACTTTGATAAGAATAATTCTGTGTGACTGTGTGTGCAAGGGCCATACAGCCATTCCACAGATTTCATTTTAATCAGTTATTTTATGTCTGTGAGCTATTTCAGACTTTGATAAGAATAATTCTGTGTGACTGTGTGTGCAAGGGCCATACAGCCATCCCCCAGATTTCATTTCAATCAGTTATTTTATGTCTGTGAGCTATTTCAGACTTTGATAAGAATAATTCTGTGTGACTGTGTGTGCAAGGGCCATACAGCCATCCCCCAGATTTCATTTTAATCACTTACATCAGTGAGCTATTCCAGACTTTTGATAAGTATAATTCTGTGTGACTGTGTGTGCAAAGGGCCATACAGCCATCCCCCAGATTTCATTTTAATCAGTTATTTTATGTCTGTGAGCTATTTCAGACTTTGATAAGAATAATTCTGTGTGACTGTGTGTGCAAGGGCCATACAGCCATCCCACAGATTTCATTTTAATCACTTACGTCAGGGAGCTCTTTCAGACTTTTGATAAGTATAATTCTGTGTGACTGTGTGTGCGAGGGGCCATACAGCCATCCCACAGATTTCATTTTAATCAGTTATTTTATGTCTGTGAGCTATTTCAGACTTTGATAAGAATAATTCTGTGTGACTGTGTGTGCAAGGGCCATACAGCCATCCCCCAGATTTCATTTTAATCAGTTATTTTATGTCTGTGAGCTATTTCAGACTTTGATAAGAATAATTCTGTGTGACTGTGCGTGCAAGGGCCATACAGCCATCCCCCAGATTTCATTTTAATCACTTACATCAGTGAGCTATTCCAGACTTTTGATAAGTATAATTCTGTGTGACTGTGTGTGCAAAGGGCCATACAGTCATCCCCCAGATTTCATTTTAATCAGTTTTTTTATGTCTGTGAGCTATTTCAGACTTTGATAAGAATAATTCTGTGTGACTGTGTGTGCAAGGGCCATACAGCCATCCCCCAGATTTCATTTTTATCAGTTATTTTATGTCAGTGACCGATTTCAGACTTTGATGAGAAAAATTCTGTGTGACTGTGTGTGCAAGGGCCATACAGCCATCCCACAGATTTCATTTTAATCACTTACGTCAGGGAGCTCTTTCAGACTTTTGATAAGTATAATTCTGTGTGACTGTGTGTGCAAGGGCCATAAAGCCATCTCACGGATTTCACTTTAATCAGTTACATCAGTGAGCTACTGTACTGGTATTAGCCTTAATTGGTTAATGTGCAGGTGTCAAGTCAATTTAGTGCTAATCCTGGATTATCTCAACCTGACTGAACAACCCATACGTCTGGCAATTAGGACCTGGTGATAACTATAATCCAATAGGGTCAATTAAGCAATCTCATTCATTTAAGCTTGCACCTTTCCTATGACATAATTGCTCCATATTTATAGCTACTCTTGTACATTTTGCTTCTAGATTACTAAGGTTTTTGTCGGTGGTTCTCTTGCTTTGGCCTCGGGTGGGGCTGCCCTGTCACTCGTTTCTTGCTCCGGGCTGTGGCGGGTGTGCCCTCACCTTTGCTGGGATAAATCTTCTTGTGTATCTGGACTTTCCTAGCTTGATATGCTTAAATGAAATAAACGGCCACTCTTGTGGCCAAATTTATCCCAAACTGGAATTGTCATCATTGGGTATCCCAGCAAACAGAGCTCACCCAAAGCAAGACTCCACCAACAGCAATAACCGACTCAATCATACCTATCTAAAGGAACATGGAGCGTAAATAGAAGAGTTACAAACATTATATCTCGTAATGAAACTGAAAGATTATCACTTAAATCTAACATTAGTATTGCAAAGCAATGCCTTTTACTTTCAAATCAACCAGCAAACAATGGAAAACCATTTTTCATGCTGTCTTTTCACGAGATCATGAAACTATACTGTAACACTTCTAATAAATTACAGTTCTCTAGTATTCTCACACGAGAGCCAATTGCAAAATTAGTGAACTCGAGGCTGCCAAAAATAAAACAGGCTATCATAGATTACTTTTAAAAGGATCAAACGAACACGTTGCGATCTTACAAAAAAATCTGAATTTCTATTCCACTTTTAAGAATGATGTGAGCAGATCAGAATATTTAGACGTTATTAAAAACGAAAAGACCGGGCAGAAGACAAATTACGATCAGTAATCACAGGTCAGAATGGAGACTGTTACTACCATCTTCCTAAAATTGCTGAGAACCTAAGGACATGTCAGCTTTGCTCGTCGAATAAAGTAGAGAATGAAATTCATTTTCTATTTGAATGCAATTTATATAACAATTTAGGACACCAGTTTTTTCTAGACGTAGAAGCCAAGTGCTGCAAATTCGTAGACTTGAACAAACCGGAAAATGTTATATTTCTTTTTAACAATATTGATCAATATGTTAATTTGTAAAAAATGTGGCTACTTTGTCTATGAAGAATTTCAACTTAGAGAATTTTATTTCATAAAAAAAAGCATGGGAAATATTAGAGATTTCTATTTATAACTTTTAATTAATACTACCTGTTTATTTGATTATTTCAAATATTATTAAAAATCGAAATTGTCATAGTTTAAAAGCAATACCATTTCTGTATATGGGAATTGGTAATAAAATGTTATGTTATGTTGTAACTTTACAACCGCTAACGATACCGGCATACCGAAATTACTCAGGAAGATGTACTCATGATTCGTTATATCTGGGAATCTTCTGGATCTAGGTTGATTGACAATAGGACATGATTGGCACTTTATCGTCATAACGACGTTTAACCAGTGTTGCATCATTTTTTAACTTTAAAGTAGCCATAAGGCCAAAAATTCTTATTATAAATAAATAGTAGGGTGCCTGATAAAATCACCCCGCCTTAAAAACGAAAAATTGTGCGAAATGTCTCTTTCAAGGAACGTGGAAGCCTTGATTACTGATGCGCTTCGTGAATGCAGTGGATGTGAATATAATTCCAATTAAGGGGTCGTTTTGCCCGCGGGGGCAGATCTTAAAATAAATAAAGGAATCGGTCACAGCTTATCTGCCGGATGTCGCAACACCAAGTGTAGAAACCGAACCCCGGCGGGAGAATTTCGTATTCTGAAAATTTGCTGCGCGTTTTTTAGATCATCGTGGCCTCTGACTATTGGAGAAAAAAAGAAAATGTCTCTTCTTGACAAGTATCCGTGTGACAATACCACAGCGCCGACATATTTATCTTTCTCAACGGCCTGTTGCTCCGCACTCATTGCATTCATCGCGACTGTTGGAAACTTCCTTGTGATTCTTGCTGTTATCCTAAACCCCTGCAAGGACCTGCGATCACCTTTCAACTACTTTGTAGCCAATCTGAGCTTTGCGGATCTTGCTGTTGGACTAATCGTTGCTCCCCTGAGCGTAGCCCACCATGTTATGGAGGGAGTCAGTCTCCGGAATCAGTACCTGGAAGATACGCTGCATGTAGGTTTTTTTTATCTCCTGCACCGCTTCACTCCTGAGCCTGGCAGCCTTGGCAGTAGATCGGTACGCGGCCATTACATACCCCCTGTTTTACAGAATCAAGCTCAATTCGGCTCGAACATTCTTAGCGTCTCTTGTTGTTTGGCTCTTCTCCATTTCATTATCAGTCTTCTACTTTGTAGTAGGCTACAACAAGTTTCGTTTCATCTTCGCGAATACTGCCGTCGCTGTGACATTTTTTGTAATACTTTTTACCAACTCAAAAATTTTCAGTTTCCTCCGCGCACAAGTAAAGGAATGGGACAACCTGCATAACACTACCGCGGAAAACTTGGCGAAGACACGAGCGATCAAGTGGGAGAAAAATATCACAAAGACACTTGTTATTGTATTGCTGTTATTTTTAGCTTGTTATTTACCATCGTGCATTTGTATCTACATCATCAATTTTTGCGCTGGCTGCCATTGTGTGTTTATTCACTGGGTCAGAGATATTCAGTTTGTTCTCGTGATGGCAAATTCGGCAGTAAATCCGTTCGTGTATGCATTAAGGTTAGCGAACTTCCGCAAAGCCTTTAGGAGTTTCTTGACGTGCCCTGCATGCCTTCCTCCTCTACGTCCATCTCAATAAATCTGACGCAATTTTCGACATTAAGCACTGATGAGCCATCGAATACTAATGCTGGTAGAGGACAAGCAGACGTCTGTTCAATATGGAGAAAATAAAAACTGTTAAAGATGATTGACCTAAGACTATGACGCTATTTATGCTGCTAAAGTTCTTTTGTTCTCTATGTAGCCTGATTTTTTCACTAGAGTCAGTAGTTTGGTTGTTGAAATTACCCGCGAGAGGGGAACAAAATTAATCTGACAGTTCTCAATTTAATTCTTCTTGTAGACAACATTCACCTTTCTCCACAACAACCGGAAGAGTTATGTTTTTTTGCTTTACTATTATGATTACAATAATTATCATTATCATTATTGTTATTATCTTTTATTTTTATTATTATCATTATTAATTAAATGCTTGCGTCAGATGATGTCGTAAGTTGCCAAGTGGGGAACCCGCGAACGTTCTTGCCAAAAATAAAAACAAAAAGCAACCAAGCGACAATGACAACAACAACAACAACAAAAGAAAAACATTAAAAAAGGTAAATAGATAAATGAATAAATAACAATATGACATAGATCAAAATAAACAAATAAATAAAATAAACGATAAATAAATGAAAAATAAACAAAAAAGGGGAATTATTTAGCTCTGAAATATATATTTTACTCGTCAGTCAGCGTCGATTTCTAATCTAAGGACTGATGATTGAACTGTTCAAATACTCATTACACCGTAGCGCCTCACATCTCCCGGCAATCATTGCAGCTACGCGTGCGTGGAAGATGGTCAGGCAGTTCTGAGCTGCGCTGGAGTACATAGAATTGGAACGAAACATGGTGAAGACAACATGCACTCCTTAAAGAAGTAACTTTTCTTCAATTTATATAAATAAGTTTTGTTGACTTGTCAATTGAATACCATTAGGAGTGCGTATTTTGTTTTATACAGACACTGCCACCTAGACTAGTCTTTGCTATTTGTGGACCGTGTGAAAATAAACTTGTTAAAATCTGAATTACTTCGAAGGGTGGGAATGCGTTGATTAAAGCAAATATCCTACAGCATCGATCAAGGGTCAAGAAGGATGGCTAAAAATACCTCTACCCAATATTCTAAAACCTACATTTTTTCATGCGTTTAAGGCTCGCATAATATTCAACATTTGTCAAATTCAAAGCTACATGTACGACGCCTCCGCTGGTTAGAAAATGTCGCTCATTGGAAAGTATCCTTGTAGTAATGTTACAGCGCCAACATATTTGTCTTTCTTGACTGCTTCCTGTTCTACACTGATCACGATCGTTGCTTCCTTGGGAAACTTCCTTGTGATTCTTGTCGTTTTCCTGAACCCCAACAAGGACCTGAGATCACCGTTCAACTACCTTGTAGTCAATCTGAGTCTGGCAGATCTTATTGTTGGTCTCATAACTGCTCCTCTCGGTATAGCTTTTCATTTTTTCGAGGGTTTTGGAATCCCTAATCGACCCCTCAGAAAAACGATGCATGTGTCATTTTTCATTTCCTGCACTGCTTCGCTTCTGAGCCTGTCCGCCCTGGCGTTAGATCGTTACGTCGCTATTACATATCCTCTATTCTACAGATCGAAACTCAACGCAACACGAAGTTTATTAGTTTCAGCTGGTGTCTGGACCGTGTCTGTTTTATTATCCATGATTTACTTTGCAGTAGGCTATGACAAGTTTCGGTTCGTCTTCGCCAACACTGCAGTCGTCGTGACGTTCGCTGTGTTGCTTTTCACCAACTCGAAAATTTTCAAGTTCTTGCGAACTCAAGTTAGACAATGGGACAACCTGCACGACAGCACCGAAGAAAATCTGGCGAAGAAGCAAGCCATCAAGTGGGAGAAAAAGATCACGAAGACGCTTGTTACTGTGTTGATGCTATTTTTAGCGTGTTACTTTCCATCGTGCATTTGTATCTACATCATAAATTTCTGCGCTAATTGCAATTGCGTGTTTATTCACTGGGTGAGAGACATTCAGTTTGTTGTGATGTTAACAAATTCGGGAGTAAACCCCTTTGTTTATGCGTTGAGGTTAGATAATTTTCGCAGAGCCTTCAAAAATATTTTAACATGCCGTGCATGCATGAGGCGTGTAAGGTCAATCTCGTTGAACCTGTATCAAACGTCGACGTCAAGTACTGAAGGAACATCAAATACTAACACTGGAAGACAGCCAGTGGAAGTTTTAATATAATGGGGGTAAACTGTTCTGGATCTTTGACATGTAGAAAGACGTATAGAAGGAAGGGAAAACTGAGGAGAGGTAAATTTGCAGTACGACTACTATCGCGGACAAAGTAAAAAGAAAAAGGCTGATCTAATTCTTGCGCTTTTTTTTTATTATTGCTTCAATTGATGGAGTTTGCCACTTTCCTTTGTTTTATTTTGTTTTACTTCTCTTCTCGTTTTTCAGTCTTCTTTTCTTCTCCTTATCTTTCCTTTTTACAGGGTGCTTCGAGTCCCTCATCAAGGTTGAGAAGATTCCCAGAACTACTTTGTTTCTGAGGCTTTCTTAGCCTGCGCCTTAGATCAGTCGGACGATACATTACATATCTTATATTTTACGGGTCGAAAACCAACACAAAAAAAATGTTTATTAGCTTCTGTTGGTCTCTTGATCGTTTCTATTTTATTGTCCATGATTTAACTTGCCGAGGGCTACGGTAAGTTTAGGCTCGTGTTCGCAAACAATATTGACTCTGACCTTTTACCAAATTGGTAATTTCTTAATAGTTCGTTATGCTCAAAGTTTGAAATTTTTACGGTTTTAAGCTTGCTATTCCCACCGTGTTGTTGTATTTATATCATTTTAAGATTGAGTCCTTTTAATTTAGCGGTCTGAAGTAAATCCATTACTAGCATTCCTGCTTTGACACTGCACTGGTGTTTCCCTTTCGTGCAATTTCCACAATTAAATGAAACCAAATCATTTTAATTCATTTATTTTTTTTAAGGAAATATCAACTGTACAGTTTGTTCATGTAGTACCTAATTGGAAGATCAGGTATATTTTCTAGCGAGGAAGCTCAATTTGAAATCGTAGCTTATCACTATAGAAAGTCTCTTACTAACTTAAGCACAATGAAATATATTGTGAAAAGAACTTTAATTTTATAATGTGAAAAAAAGACTTTAACTTAAAATGAAGGCAAAAGCTTCATCAGTTATATACTTTCGCAACTCTTGTACATCATCAATATGTTGTTTCCACAAGGGATTCTTAACATTAGGATTAATACACCGCCGGTCCGATTCTATCTTCTTTCAAGTTAAAGCTGTTGATACCCACTGGCGGTTTCCACGGACATGTTTTTCTTGATATTATGTTTTCAGGCGGTGACCAATATAATCCGCCGCAAAAAAAAAAAATTCAAGCAGAAGATACTATTTATAAGTAGAAATAATTGTCTCGCATACCTTCGCGAAACCAGGTTAGAAATACCGCCACTCAAGTTAAGTAGTGTGGGGCGGATTCGGAACTGGATAAGTCACCCGCCGTGAATATCCTGTCTTTTAGAACTATTCTTCCTTCTTTCTTTTTTCCTTTTCACGTTCTTACCTTTTTTTCATATATGTCTTAAGTTGTTTTATTTTTAAATGCGTATTATGTCGGCCGAAGGGAGAAAAAAAAAAAACAAACAAACAAACAACAACAAAATTAATAAACAAAACCAAACCAAACCGAACTAAAAGAAAATGACAAAAGCAAAAAGCAGTCTTGATCCTGGCCATCGGCGGTTTTGTCTTGGTGTAACATAAATTCTAAGGTTAATTCCGGTTAAAAAGCAAGAACTGAAACAGACCTTCGACACACATACAGTGTAGCCGATAGACGCACTAGTCTGCAAAGTGAGACGCACTGAACACTGTTTTTATATCTCGATTATCGCTCCCGGCTTATTTTGAAGCCGATTGGTCCAAATTGCTTCAAATTGATTTACCGTTTGCATCACTTATAACGATGTATCGCTAAGTATGTCTATAAATCAATGTTAATGAAACGTTGAATTACTTGTGGTATATTACGTCTTCCTTTTGCCTCAAAAGCGGTTTTTTGAGCAATTTTGAAGGATTTTGAGTTCGCAGTTTACTGTTCCTAATAACAGAACTGTTCCTTCTATTATTAGGAACAGTTATACCACAGAAAATTAAAGTAATTCAACGTTCATTTAACATTGATTTATAGAGACATACTTAGCGATATATCGTTATATAGCTGAAACAAACGGTAAATCCGGTACATTTACTATTAAAAAAAAAGAAAAAATTCGGCTACACACACACATTGTGTGGGGTCCCTGTTGTGAAACTGCTTTACTTCGCAAACAGTAAAACGCATGCTCCATTTAGGTTATGTTTTGTTATGTTACAATCTGATTTTAATTATAATCTAGAAGTATCTTTCAGCTTTTGCGTAACATTTCTACAATTAAATGTGATTGAAATGTTCACTGTGCAATAAAAACTGTTTTTTCCTCACTCCCGGCTATTTTCTTCGAGCTCCCGATACTCGAACTTTTTTCGCTTCCCCTTGAAGGTTCGAGCTATCGGGAGTTGACTATATTTCCTGTTGTCAGTGTCGCGTTTTGGTCATCCTTTCGGTATGCACGTACTATTTCATATTTTTTCGCTCTATTTAATTACCATCAAAAACGATTCCCTTTTTGTATTGCTGCATCATAAAAAAAGGTTAGGGGTTGCAGAAAGCTAACATTTCAGACTACAGCTTTCCGTAAAGTCATTAGTGCTAAAATATGATTTTAAACGTGAATGTAAAATGAATCCTCTGCTCTCAACGTAACTGCTGTGTTTTGTCACCGCTAATGGCGTAGGTTTTGCATGTACTGATTTGGGCCGATTACCAGCCACTTCAACAAACAGGGATTTTCCCTTCAATAAATAAACACGCTTAAGTAAAATTCAGGGTCGTAAATTTTAGTGTTTGGTGTCATGGGTTAAACTGCGTCAACGCAAGGTTTTTATTCCTCCCTTGGTAATGTCGGTAATTCGCTTGTTTATCTGGTGATAGTTCTGTTTAGACAGAAATTTCCCAAATTTCAGTTATAGTTGTAGTTGTAGGCTGAGCACTGAAATCTATCTTGCTCTTGCAATCATAAGTGAACGGTGAAAACGTACGAGACAAAGGACTCCTCCCTCGGAATTAATTTTGTTCTGGAGCCACGTGACCAGACACAACCAGGGTCTCTCTCTCGCTCCGTAGGGACGGGTAGGAGAGAACGCTATGAACGAGGCCGCCACAATTTCTTTTAAAACTAATCCATTAGGGCGCTTTCCATTCGTCAGAACTGACCTGCCAGACCATTCCCGTCGCAATCATAATTTCCCTTTTAATGAAACCAATCAAATCCTGAATTGTATGCACGAAGGGGATGGTTTTTCAGCAAAAATTCTTGGAAAAAGCCTATTTCACTTTAAAACTGACTGGTTCGGGCATAGGTCAGCTGGCTGGCCAGTTCTAACAAATAAAAAGCCAGCTCCCTAAGGATATATTTCGGAGACCATACCGAAGTTTTTCAATCGCCTTAAAAGAGATTTTACCCTTGTCCTATTGCCACAAATCTTCACCAGTGATTATTAACTATGAATTGAAGTTCGTCAAAATGCATATTTCGATGCGAGGAAATTGTAGTGTATTTCCTTTCTTGCGATCCTGAAAACTAACCTGTTTTCTCACCACCTGTTTCGAAACTTTGATGTTAATTGCTTTTCTATATATCTCTAAAACGGCTCCATTCTTTTAACGCTTATCACATACTCTTCATGATGTATATAATAATGTCTGAAACTTTCATTAAGGTTTGATTCACTGCAACACCTTGAAATTTCAAGACGAATCTAGCCTACGAACCGACCAAAAATCCGCGTTTACTTACAACATTCACTGTTTTGGTGTTACGCTAATTTTTCCAAATTAATGCCGACCATACATACTGTGTGATTAGCCCAACGAAACGAGAGCAGTTGGGTGTGGAAAGATACAGTTGTTAAAGTCCATAAACAAGGACTGTTTTGCAGACGACACTACCCAATTGAAAGGAAGAAAGGAAGATTTTCAATTTTGATTTTTTATGATCAAGTGAGGGAAGTGGAATTAGAGGCACAAATACGGGTTCCTTCTGTGAGTACCGGAGCACAGATTACGTAATACAATAGTAATAAAAGACAGGAAACAAAACAACTCCAAATAAAGACTAATCCCAAGTGACCAAAAATACAAAGCTTTCCGGTACCTGCAGAAAGACCCCAAATACGAACCATCGAAGCCTCTCATGAAGCCCAGAAATATGGTGAGGCATGGATGGTAGTTAATGAGATTACTGGAAGGAAAAGAGCTAAAGAAGGTCAAGTACAGGGATCAAGCCCTGAGGAACGAGTGATCACATTGTTCACCCACTTTAAGAAACTCCTGTTTAATCCCCCAGAGGTAGACGATCTGGACGAAGAAATACCAAACATCTTTGAGGACTTTGATATCAATGACGGCCTGTTCACTATAGAAGAGCTCAAGAAAGTGAAATCTTCATTAAAAATCGGGAAAGTAGCTGGCCCGGATGCAATACCACCTGAAGTATTCAAGTTATGTGACTTTGACAATATATGTCTAGACTTCTGCAATCAAGCTCTGATAAAAAAGGACAAACCTGATCTGTGGTCCTATATGAATATCATCCCTGTACCTAAATCTGGGGACTTGTCAAAGACCGATAATTGCAGGGGAATCAGCCTGATTTGCATTATAGCCAAGATGTATAATCGCCTGATTTTAAACCGAATCAGGAGTGTAATTGACATCCGACTCACAGTAAACCAGAACGGTTTCCGGCCCAAAAGATCTACAGTGGCCCAAATATTAACACTCAGAAGAATAATCGAGGGAGTTAAAGCAAATATAACATTGAAGCTGTCATGACTTTTATTGACTTCAAGAAGGCATTCGACTCCCGGATTCGACTCAATTCATCGGGGTAAAATGATGCGTATTCTTAAAGCCTATGGGATTCCACCTAACCTATTGCAAGCTATTGAGATGATGTATACGAATACAAAGGCCAAAGTGTTTTTTCCAGATGGAGAAACAGAGATGTTCCACATCACAACCGGTGTACTGCAGGGCGACACATTAGCTCCTTTCCTGTTTATGATCGTGCTTGCCTATGCTATGAGAAAAGCTAT